AGTCGCTGAACTGCGGCGAGTCCTCCTCGGAAGCACGGGGTAGGGAGATACCAAGCGGTCCTTTCCGGGGATTCCCTCCCCCATGCCTACTTGCCTGCTGGAGAACCCCTGAGAGTTGCACTTCGCTTCCGGGATGTCCTTCGGGATATTCAGGCAGCTCATGCAGAATAGATGGCACAGGTTGAGCGTGTGTCATCACTCCCCGTTGTCACACTGAATAAACATCAAAGGCCTATTAGGCCTCACAAGCAGAGGGTCACCCTGCACGCACACCCGGCCCAATCCGAGGATCAGACTGGTGAGCTGCTGCTGATAAAAACCTACATTCTCCAGGTTACGTTTTGGAAACGACCCGTGCAGATTACCAGGCTATCTCATGGTGGTCTTGCCGGTCATTGTCACGGGTCAACAAGGCACCTCCAGCTTACAGTGGCCCCATGAACAGGGCTGACCTTGGCAGCCCTGCTCAACTTTGATAAACTCAAGGTTGTGGCTTTCTTTATGGAGGCAAGCAATGCAGGCCACATTATGATGCAAGTCTGGACAGGAAAGAGGCCTATCATTCCCAGCATGGTCCAACCAACTGGCTGGGAGTTGTAGTTCTCTTTCCTGTCTAAACATCAGCTTAAATCAGCTGTGTGGTCTCAACTCTTCCCCACCAGCTTTGTAACAGCCTACCGTTACAGAGGACTGCCCATGCCCATGTAGGAAGACACCAGAGCCAAAGCATTGTCGGTCTACAAATTTATCTGTTACTCAAACCCCGTGGATTCAAATTTGCCACCATCAATTAATCAACTGAACTTTAGTTGATTTATCTACTAGTCAAAGCCTGCAGCCTCACTGAAATCCTGCAGTACTTTATCTCATCTCAGACTCAGTGCTTTCTCCATGATCTGGAAATACTATTTTTTGTTTTCCCAAGCAAGGGAACCCGGCTCCAGCTGCAAATCCAAGCCAATTGCAGCTTTGCTTAAGACTGCTGCCTTGGCTTCCGCGTTGTAACCATAGAAGATTTAACATCTGGGCAGCTGAGGCATGACGAAGAGCGAGCGTGCATTAACGCCGTCCCTGCTACCCCTTTAATTCTAATGGGATGCGTGCAAACTTCATAGGTAAGGCAGCAGGTGTACAAACACGTATGGGTGGGGACGGAAGATTAGATTTCAAAGCCTCCTAGCCTGTCCTGGGAAAGAGGCAGGCATGTCTCGCTCAGGCTCCTTGTCTGGCATTGTTATCATGCTCATAGGCACATCGGCAGCCTCAGCACCGTTGCCAGTGGAGGGGACTTTCCCAGCATTAATCTTTGGGGGAAAGGAGTAGCTGCAGAGCTCCGTGCTGCACCCTTGGAGCTGGGAGCTGCTCTCCTCACGCCGATGCGCAGGCCCAGGCGGCGGCGACGCAACCCCGTTTCCACGCAGGGTGGCTTCTGGCAAGCCGCCTTTGCACGCAGCAGATGCTGCAAGCAATGGGGAAATGGAGTGGAGATCAATGCAGGAGAGCATCGTGACACGCCGGAGCGGCAGCAGACCAGGCACAGGTCACATGGCCGCAGCTGGGACTTCCCCGGGCTCCTGGAGCTGCGCGCACGTTACATACAGCAAGGAGGAAGGGAACAATCAACCCCGACATGTTCCATCCGTGCCCGGTGTCTCCAGTTGTGAGGAAGAGGCACCGCATGCATGTTCCGAGCCGAGCACTCCCTTCTTTATTGCTTTAATTATTCCTCTGGCATTCAAAGCAAGTTCCTGGGCTGAACCCTGCTCAAATTAAGCCCTGGATTTTCCCTTACCTATAGGAATGTATTAGTATGATAATTGCAGAAGTCAAGATCTTGGGGGCAGACATGGACTTGAGCCAGAAGGATAGTGTGTCTTCCATTAGCAGATGCAGTGCAGGATTCACCATTAGGTAAGTTCAGTGCAGCACAAGGACCTGGACAAACTGGAGGCATCCCGATCCCACCGCTGCCTCTGGCCACTTTACACAGGGCCTTTCCGTAAGTTAGACGAAAGGTGGGTTTGGTGGGGGCTGCAAGGCAAAAGTGTTGCATGAAATTTGCAGCTTACATCTCCTCCTCCATCTTATCCCCACAGCAACCACCCTGTGAGGTAGGCTGGGCTGAGAGGCTGTGACTGGCCCAGAGTCCCCCAGTTGGCTCCATGGCTGAGCGGGGACTGGAACCCAGATCGCCTGGGTCCCAGCCCCACGCTCTTAGCCACTGCACCACACTGGCGCTCCATCTTTGTGTTGGAGCCACCACTCCTGCCTCAGACCTCTCTTGCTTCTGGATCGGCAGCTGGGAGAGGGACTCCGGATGGGCCTGGGGTCCCCCGTTGGCTCTTACACCTTCTCCTGAGGGCCACCACGACAGGACACGTTTGCATCTAGCCGATGTAACAAGAAAATGAGGTGTGTGGAATGGAGCAGGTCTGGGCACGGTGGCCAGAACTCGAGTGGATTCTCACGTTAATTAAATCTGGGCATCGCAAAGGCACCATGAGATGGGTTTCGTTAAAGAGGGACTCATCGCTGACTTCCTTTTAGAAAGTGCTGGCTGGCCCAGCTGCGGCAAGACACTGGCCAGATCTTCATTCTCCTTAGCTTCAGGTGTTCCCAGACCTGCTTCACTTCACATGCCCTATTTACAGGCTGTTTTGAACAGCCTGTCCTGACTCTTGCACGGTGGGTTTCCTTCAATGTGCCTCCCGTGATGGTGCGGTCTCAGTTCTGAACCACATTGCCGCAATAGAACAGTTTTGTTCTCCTGGGCACCACATGGGTTACTCCCAAAAAGGTTCTCTGAAAACGCTGAGTTAAAATCACCTGGTGGCAATTTGACTATATCAGGGAGGAGCATAATATTCCAGCCACTGATTCTTGTTGACAAGCTTGGATCCAGCCTCTGTCTTCCTCCAAGGAGCGGCCTTCAGCGAGAGGAAGGACTCTGCTCATAGAACATCATTGTGCATGATTCTGTGGGTCGCCTTGCCCTGCATCACACCCACAGTGCACTCTGTTCAGCAGGGTCCCATTTTCCGGGGCTGGGAGGGCTGTCCTGGGGAAGCCCGCATGCCGCAGCATCACTGAATCCAGTGATTAGGAGGGCCAGAGAGCTGGTGTGTGGAATCAAGACCACCACAGCAACTGATGTGGGGAGGGGGACCCAAGGCTGTATTAGGGGGGAGACCTCAGGCCACAACTCCCAATATCTAGCTGAGAGATGATGGGCATGTGATCCAAACATCTGGAGTGTAACACTGGGGAAGACTGGTGCACCGTAGCTCCCCCATCCATTACCCTCCAGATGTTTTTGACGTCAACTCTCATCAGTCCCAACCGGGATGCCCAATGTGGAGGAGTGCTGGGAATTGTAGTCCGGAACATCTGGAGGACACCTGACTGGAGAAGACTGCTTTAGAAGCTGGCATCCCACTTATGGGTCAAGACCAGACAGAAGGGACTTCTCAGCCTAAGTCAGGTCTCGGGGACAGCAGCGATACTTTCTTTTTGCTTGAGGTTTTTCTCGAAAGAGAGGAGACACAGGTAGCCCGATGCACAGGAAGTCTGGTTGTTAGTCTGGAAGTCGATGTATGATGCCCATTGCGGCTGGTGGGGTGGAGGGCAGGTCCCTGATACTCTACTGTGGTTGCTGGATGAGGGCAGGGGGGAATTCCGTGCGGCCTTTGGAAACCCGGGAGCAAATGTACCTGCTGTGAGGGCTCTCTCTGCCAGGAGTGGGCATGTGGGGCAGAGACTTGCCACCCCCTCACCCCAACTACAGAGCCGTCTTTATTTTTAACCCATTTATGACCAGACCCTCCATCATTTGTAGCTGATCTGTGTACAAATAAGAGGAGAAAATAGGAGTATTTCTTTTCTTTTCTTTTTTAAAGGAGGGGTTCTATTCTGCAGTTAGGGATTCAATGTAGGCCCTCCTGGACCTGAAAAGGCGTTTGCTTATTATCCATAAGCAGCATGCCATCCAGAGATGCGCTAGTTGATCTTGATGCATTTCTACGCACTCCCACCCTAAAACAATATATAAATGTAAGATATACTGATTGCATGTAGCCCGTGTTAAATACACTGTGTAATATTTCAGAGCACTAGCTGAAATGTGTAGCAGTCTGTGTCTTCTGGAGTCCTCTTCCTCATAAGATCTCCTGCAACGCCATGGGTGGGTTCAAACATTATGGCATCCATCATGGTCAATCACCAGGTGGTCTCGCCAGCAGCCACCATGAGCCCGGCAAATGAAATGTGGCCAGGAACTCAACAAGGATGCTTAGAGAATGGGTCACCACAGCTGAAACCACGTGGCCCCTTCTTGCCCGGGAGTGAGCTCCTCAGGCAGATCATGGACTTGGTAGAGGTGGACTTGTCCTGTTCTGGTTGCGTGCCTGTGGAGCCCGGCCTCTCTTCTCTGCTCCTCCTCAAGCAGCTTCCTCCCCAGCAGGGGCAGGGAGCAGGGGAGGCTGGGCATACACCAAGAAGGGGGCATCCCTGCCCAGCCCTTCCATGGAGAAGGAAGGAGAAAGCTCTTGCCATGGAGAAAGGCACTCAAGCAGAGGTGGAGAAGGAAGGACCCAAGCTAGGCAGGGATGTTCCTTCCTGGAAGCAGCTTGGAGATTCTGATAACTTCACACTTACTTCTTAGCAGATGCACATGCCACTTCTCCTCTGAGCCACTCCTGAAGCGGTTTACAAAAAAGGAATTTGAAAACATGCTCAGTGGTGTCATATTAGGGGCTGGTTCAAAGACGGCTCACAGCTGCAGGAAAGCCGAAGTAAACCGTGCTACCTGTTGCAGCCCAACCTGGCTCAGGGGAGGTCATTCCACAGGGCAGATGCTTGTCTCTCTGCTGCTCCCAGGCAGAATCCAAAGAGTTCTATCCAGTTTAGCTTCTGGTAGCGTCTTCTCCTCCACACCTACCTGGTTCTGTATGCATTGGCCCCTTGGCTGTGCTCTAACCCAGTCTCCTGTCTTCCCTGTGCAGAGAATTCTGTGGCTGCCAAGTCGGGCGGCTGCTTCCCAGGATCAGCCCAGGTGAATCTGGAGCAAGGAGGCACCAAGCTGGTGAAGGACCTCAGCCCTGGCGACCGGGTGCTGGCCGCGGACGTGCAGGGGCGGCTGCTGTACAGCGAGTTCCTCGCCTTCCTGGACCAGGAGGAGCCCCCCATGCACAAGCTCTTCTACGTGATTGAGACCCAGTGGCCTCGGACACGCCTCCTGCTCACGGCGGCCCACCTGCTCTTTGTGGCCCCGCCGCAGAACCATTCCCAGCCCCGGCCCATCTTCGCCAGCCGCGTGCAGCCGGGGCAGCGCGTCTACGTGCTGGGCCAGGGGGAGCAGGCGCTGCTGCAGGCCGCGGTGGTCCAGCGGGTGTCGCTGCAGGAAGACGCCTCGGGGGCGTACGCCCCGCTCACGGCGCAGGGCACGATCCTCATCAATCAGGTGCTGGCCTCGTGCTACGCCGTCATCGAGGAGCACAGCTGGGCCCACTGGGCATTCGCCCCCTTCCGCGTCGCGCACGCCCTCCTGGCGACGCTGCACCCCAGCGGCCTCTCCTCGCCGGTCCTCTTCGCAGCTGCTGCAGCAGACGACGCGCCAGCGGGAGTCCACTGGTACTCCCGCCTCCTCTACCGCATCGGCCGCTGGGTGTTGGATTCTGAGATGATGCACCCGCTGGGCATGGCCAGCTGAGGGGACAGCTCTGCAAACTCCGCTCTTACCCGTCGTAAGAATAAAATAGTACAAATGGGGGAGAAACTCAGATGAAGAAAGGAAGAATGCAAGGAAGGAAGGAAGGAAGGAAGGAAGAACAAAAGACTTTAAAATAATAATAATAATAGTAGGACAGTCCAAAGTAGACTTTAAGGAACAGAAAGAGCCCAGGAAGTTTTTGTTTTAGTTTATAAATATATATATTTTTATTTGATTTATATTTTTGTCTGTATGTTTTATTGTCTTGTTGTCTTCATCTCCTGGATATTTATTTGTTTGGTAATTTGAAATAGATGTTTTAAAGAATATGAACCCAACCTTCAAGAGCCTTAAATAGTTTCTTTGATAATTTATTATCACGTGAACTGTACACTCACAGGGGAAAGAAAATTATTTTGCGTGGCCAAGCAAAACTGCACAGAGTTCTATTTTTCTATGTGTCATGTGTGTCCAGACTTTCCAAAAGTAAAATGCTTGTTCTCCCATCTAGACATGGCTTCGTTCTTTCCCAACAGCGAGTCTCAGAACAAACAAAAGACATACTCCATGGTGGGGGGAGGGGTTCCGTAAATTATATTTTTATATGCAGAATTGTAAATTCAATTTTTTTTAGAGATCAATACTTAACAGTCACATTTCATTGTTTTGAAATAGTGTAAAATATGAGAATATATTATTTTAATTTAAATAGTATCAAATGTAAGGTCATTTTCTGTATTGTTTCTATTGTCTTTGGAATATTTTGCTTTGTATAAAAAATGACCACCCAATTCATCAATGCCCTTGGAACTCCAGACTGTTACACAACGTTATTCATTGGCAAAACTCGGGGGGAAACTCTCTTATTTTTACCTTCAAAATCAAGAAGAAATTTATGAGAAAATATTTTTTAAAACGCGCACATGCTGGCTACTATGTGACAATGGAGAATAGTTTGTACAGAGGGAGGGGAAAGGATGTTTTGCATTAATAAACTGATAAATAACTGCTGTCAATTTACTAAAATGTATTTTTGAATATTTTGTAATAGTTTTCATAGTTTTATAGAAATAAAATGTGCCATGCACAGTCTGGTTAGTATATAAGAACAAAGCATTCTGGTGCATCACATTGGTTTCTTTTTCTTTTTACCAGTTGCTTAGGTAGGAAATGTGACTCTCCCACATCAAACCCTGTTAAATTTTAATGTATAGCCAGAGTTGTCACAGGATCACATATTCTGAAAATTAAAACAAACCCTGACACAGAAGCTGTAATGCTATCATACCTATTCACCCGCAATTTTAGTTAAGACCTATAAAATGTTGGCAGGCTCCATTCCAAATAACCTGGCCTTAATGGTAGCATGTCTATCCATATAAAAAAAATCAGAATTTCATGAGATGGCCAGTCCACCTCAAGTTAGAGTCATGCCCACCGATTTGTGTATATCTAAGTCTGAATCCAAAACCCTGCTATGAAAGAGCAAGCAAAAGCTCAGCCCAGGCACTAGAGATGAAGGTTTCCAGACCCAGAACCATGATGGTGTAACGTAACCAGGTAGATCTTCAACATGTCAGTGCTGCATCTGGAAACCCTTTCAGCCTATGGGACATTATGTTGAAGCATCTCATAATTTAGTCCATCGACTGCAAAAGAATAAATTGAATGCTTAGCTGAAGAAATGGCTGATGGTTTGTTTGACCTGGAGACTGCTTCAAGCTGTGTGTGCCCATCAGGTGAAGGAGACATAGAAACATGACTTTCTGCTAAATTCTCTTGAAGGACTTCATATAGATGGCCAGTTTTCAGCAGGACCTTTGTGTGTGAATAACCTTGCTCCAAAAGCAGCCTGTCTGAAAATCCACAGCTTCCTAGTGGTTTGTGAATCCAAGCCAGCCAGGGCTCGCTATAAAGAAGCTCACGTTTATTCACATGCAAAGTCTATTTTTCCTGGTGCTTCCCAGATATTATGGTGCACCACTCATGGATGAAGCTCGGATCAATACGTTACCAGTTGAGCTGCCCATGCCATTTCAGAAAGCTGATTTTGGGTGTCATGACAAATTTTTAGTTAAATAAGTGTATCTTGATATCAGAGAGGGTGTTTTTGTGATCTTCCACCTGAGATACCAGAAAAACTTGGCCCTTGTACACCTTGGTTTTGGAAAAGGGCCATGGAAATTATTTGTGCTACACCCTCATGTGGCAGAAATCTAGGCCTGACCTTGCCTAGACTTTGAGTTCACACACACATCTGGGCAGCTCATTAGTTCTCCCTCTCCTGGTGGGTCTATAAAAAGTTCTGGATCAGGCTTGGGGCTACCTGGGATCCCAATTTGCTATAGTTGACACTTGCATTTATTCTGATCAATTGATCGATCAATTGCAGAGTCGCCTTTCTGCCTAAGCAGAGCCTCCAAGGCAACCTGCAGTCTTTCTCGTATGTTTCCCCAGTTTGCCTCAGGTTCCAGTGCTGTAGAAGCATGCCTCCTTCCAGCTGCCAAAGCTGGGCTCCCTACAGCCCAAGCCCCCGGGCTGCCAAACTCTTGCGACGATTTCTGTCACATCCCAGGATTTCCACACATAAGCCACCTCTCTCACTTGTCCACAGACTGGGCATGGCCTGCTCTCTGTTTTGCAGGGGTTTGCAGCTCCCACAATACACCAAAGGTGCAGCTGCTGCGGCAAATAACAGGTGCATTTCTAACATCCCCATTCTGTACCATGCAGGAGAGCCTATCAGACCCCACCGAAGTATTGTTCACCTTGCTTCTACCCAGCAGTCTTGGTGCTTACCTTCAAGAGACCGGTAAATGACTAGAGATCAACATTCTCCAACCTCATGCCTTCCAAGCATCCTAGATTTTCTATTCCACCATTCATCATTCCTGCCTTCCTTCCTTTTCTATACTGCCCACAGTTAAAGGTGGTTGGACATCCATCCCAGACAGTTTGGGCATCCCAGCAGGCTGCCCTGGATGTTATGGAGAGATTTAATGTACAGGTATGGCAGAAGCAGCTCTTCAAAAACAATGTGTAACTTGGGCTAAACAGAGGAACTTGTTTTGGATTATCTTTGGTTCAAAAATGTTGGCCTGTGGTCTCTTTAAGAGCAGGTCACACCAGATCTGTACTTTCCTGTTACCCTCCAGCATTACCACTTTTCTGCAGAGCAAGCCAGTCAATCCGACACCCAACTTCAAGGAGGCATCTGGGAGCAGCTCTCCATGCAAAGTCACAGCCCTTGGACCCATTAAAGTCATTAATTAAAGTCCATGCACCCCATGCTCTGTCAATACCATTAAGGTCATAAAGTTTCTGTTGCTGGAATGCTGTTACTGTGTCTACAGTTATAAAATCTGGGTTTAAGTTATGTACATTTTGAGGAGTCCATAAAAACTTGGAGGGATTGATAATTTCCTCCCAAGCATCTTTGCAAACAGGCAAGTTGAGCAAGACCCCTCCAAGACCCGGCTCATCATCTGCTACACTAGAAGCAAGGTCGCCCCAGCCGCCACTCCCTCGCTGCCCTCCTCCTTACCTTGGCAAGAGACTCATTTACCTGCCTCTGGCCTGGGCTCAGCCAACGGTGGTGAGGAGGAGAAGGGGCAGTAGACGCCACCACCCACTTGATCTCTGCATCTCTGCCTGACCACAAAATGAGGAGGAAGAGCTGGTGCTGACAGTGGAAGCTTCCCACTGGGGGTGATTTGCTCGAGGGCCCTCCGAATTCTGGAGCTGGCACTGCTAGAAAGGGTTTGGTTATACCAAGTGCCTCTTTGCTGACTTTGGGAAAGATCTGCTTGTAAGCGTCCTGTGGTCCTGTGGGCATCATTCCTGAAGCTGATGATCTCCAGATGATTTGGGCTTGCACTAGGAGAGAGTGACTTGTCCAGTGTGGCAACTTGTCAGGAATTGAACCCAGGTATCCGTAATCTGTGGCCACCACTTCAGTCATGATACCGCTCAGGCAAGCAACAGAAACAAAAATGATCAGAAATGTACCTTGAGAAAAAGGCGGGCAAAACTGCTAGGCTGTATAGGGATCTCTCCTTTTGCACGGCTCCGTTGATGATGGAAGCAATTACCCAGGAAATCCTGGGTTCTCCCACACTGGAGGCAGTGAGGATGCTTTAATTGGGGGTCCTACACTGAACAGGGCATTGGACATGATGGCCTTATTAGCCCCTTCCAAGTCTCTTCTTCTAGGTCTCCAAGAATATATACGGAGGTGATGGAAAAGCTCATTCGCCTAGTGATAATCATAATGCAGCCTTCCCCAAGCCCTAGTGCCTTCCAGCGCCCTCAGGTGCAATGCCCACTATTCCCAGCCAACTCACCACACATCCCTCAGATGGCTGCAACGGCAACGTTGGACATGAGGCCGCAAGAGGAAGCCCACGAGCAGGACGTGGGGAAACTTGCAGCCTTTAGCTCATGTTCGCCAACAACTGTATGCACAGGCAGCTACCAATGGCATGTCTGCTAGACATGACTCTGAATCCTCCAGTAGCAGGGGCAATGCGCCTCTGTGCACCGCTTGCTTGGAGGGGTGAGCTGGAGAGTGGTCTTGCTCTCACGTCCTTTCCATGGGCTTCTGACAGGTCTGATTGGCCACTGTGTGGATGGAACCTTGGGTTCGGTAGACAGAAAGAAGACCACTGCTGCAGGGTCAGCTGGTGAAGAACTGACTTAGAGACACGGCTGGGGTTGGGAGATGGATCCACCTCATGATCGGAGGAAGGAATGGCCCACCGTCGTGGTCTTCTGGGTTCCCTACGAGATGGACCTACCACTCCAAAGCCTGGGGAGAAAACCCACAGTGCAGTCGTCGTCAGCACCATATCAAAGGCGGCAGAGGGGGTAGGTGGAAGTCGCTGCAGGGAGCTGTCCACACCGTCATCAGCAGGGAAAACCTATCATGTGAACCTGCACTGGGTGAGAATTCTTGTTTTTGAAGCTCGTCACTTGATTACATCACATTTACATCCCACCCT